AAAGTTGGTAGATGGATCTGTAACTTCCTGACAAATAGAACACTAAGAGTAATAGTAAACAGAGTAAAGTCTCAGGCGGCCACAATGAAAAGCTCTGTTCCAAAGGGCACAGTACTTGCTCTCATTCTATTCCTCATCCTCATTTCGGACATAGAGATGTAAGTCATAGCTTCGTGTCTTCCTTTGTGGATGACACCTGGATTGCCATGGCAGTGACCTCCATCAAAGACATCACAAGACTCCAAGCAGATATCGACCAAATCTTCAAATGAGCCACTCAAAACAATATGAACTTCAACGAGGAGAAATTTCAACTACTCAGATAAGGAAAACTTGAGGAAATTAAAAATGTTTCAAAGTACATATACGACAAATTCTAACCATACAGTAGAGCGGAAAAGAAATGTGAAGGACATGGGAGTGATAGTGTCAGAGGATCTCGCCATCAAAGACCACAAAACTGTATCTACCTCATCTGCTAGGAAAATGACAGGATGGATAATGAGAACCTTCAAAACTAGGGATGCCAAGCCCATGATCCTCTTCAAATTGCTTGTGCTTTCTATGCTGGAATACTGCTGTATACTAATGACCCTCTTCAAGGCTGGAGACATTGCAGACCAGAAGAGCATACACAGAACTTTCACGGCACACATAAGTATAATAAGGCACCTAAATTACTGGGAACGGTTGAAGGTCCTTGATCTGTATTCCCTGGAACACGGGTGAGAGAGATACGTATATGATAATACACACTTGGAAGGTCCTGGAGGGATTGGCACCAAACCTGCACACAAAAATCACTCCTTATGAAAGCAAAAGACTCAGCAGGAGATGTAATATTCCCTTGATGAAAAGCAGGGAAGCCACGAGTACATTGAGAGACAACACAATAAGTGTCCGGGGCCCAAGACTGTTCAACTGCCTCCCAGCATACATAAGGAGGATTACCAATAGACCCCTGGTTGTCTTCAAGAAGGCACTGGACAGGCACCTAAAGTCAGTACCTGACCAATCGGGCTGTGGTTTGTATGCCAGCAGTAACAGCCTGGGTGATCAGACCCTGATCCACCATGAGGCCTGGTCTCAGACCGAGCCGTGGGGGTGTTGACCCCTGAAACCTACTCCAGGTAAATCCATTACAGAATTTATTCACACTCCAGTACATCCATCGACTTTAGTACCAGAACCCCTACTATCCACCTCAGCCCAGTAGGGCCACAGCAAAACTCTCCACTCTCTTCACAGTCATTGACAAACACTAGCACCCACTATTTAAGGTAAGAAATACTATTATTTCTGTTGCATTTGTAGTCTTAAACAGTAAAAACAAAATAATACATTGTGACAATTAACTACAATTTCATTTTCACTTTTATTTTTGTAAGATCTGGAGGTCTAAAAAAAAAAGTTGTTTGGCTTTTTTTGGAGCTCCCAGGAATGTAACCCTATTTTTCCCATAAGTTCTTTAGTTTATCTGACATGGATTTACCTAACACGGCGTTTTCAGGAACGTAACTACCGTGTAATATTATGGTCTACTGTATATCAGTTACCCTATTGTATAATGTACTGTACTTCACTTTATAGAAATAGTTTGTTTTGTATGTGTTTGTTTGAATACAGAAAAGTCTTACATTGGTCGTATCACTTTTTCAGATTCAGCCTAAGAAACTAAAATGCTTTCTCGTCTACTTATTGGACGGTAAGAATAAAGTATTCTGCTTGTATATGCAGTAAGTGATTATGAACTTGCAGTGAAAATAGAGATACAACCCTGATTTTCTGGCAATGGATTGTCTGGCACCTCTTTAGTCAAAACAAGATTAAGAGACGAGTTTACAGGGTGGCCAGAGATGGCAGCAATGAGTGTAGTGCACACTCATTCATACTGTTTACACTAATATTACTAGTCTTATCACTACTACTACTGCTGTTTCTTCTGCTACTACTATTCTACTACTACAACCACTTCTACCACCACTACCACCTCCCTCCACTTCCCTTCTCTATTTCTACTACCATTACCCCTCCCTTCCCTTCTTTTATATATTCTGGCCTCCTTCCCTTCTTGCTTAAGCATGATTTGTCACTCATCCAAGTTGGACCAAAATCTCATCATTACTTTCCCATTCCTAAGTGCAGGTTATCCATGTAATAATAATTATGATGATAGCACACTACCCCAGTTGCCCTATCCATCCTCCCTTCCCTCTTGTTTCACCATCCTTGTCCACGTGTGATCTACCCTCCAAACACTGCCCCTTTCCATTTCCACCATGTGGTTCCAACAAAAAAGTCTATTGTTAGCTTTGTAAAACACCTTTTCCCTCTACTTCACACACTGTCTTCTTTCACTCCCTCTTCTAGAAACCCCTGTCCTCTTTTCTCTTCACAATTTTATATCTTTTATTTAAGAAAGTATTTTTGGGCTTTGATTCACTATTATGCTTACTGATTTGCCTGCCTAAATAAAAATTCCTGATGCCATTTGATGAGATGTAATTTACATAAAGTTCTGCTTTTCTTTTAGTTATTGCCCGAGTTTTTTTCATATAATCTATTCATTAATTTTGAACAAGGTTTTACTTTGGGCATCTGACTCTTGCTTACCTATCTTGAATGCAATACTAGTACATTTACCACCATCACTTCACATGGTGGTGTTGATCCTGGGCATCTGCTTGGTTGTATTGAAGGTTTGCATAATTTTGGGCTTGCTTTCCTGTTTTTTTTTTTCTCCCTCCCCTGAGCATCCTTGATTTCTTTATTCTTTTTATCTCTGTCTTCCATTTTATTGATTTTGGTTGCTTGATCTATTAAATTATATTTTATTTCTTTTATAGTTTTGGACAACAGCTAATTTGGGCTTAGTTTGTTTTTCTTGTTCTCGGTGATGATAGTATGACATTAATGGTAGGGAAAGTCTTCATTAGGAAATCCTCCTAATCACTTTGTATAGCATTGCAAATGCTACATTTCTTTACCCCTGCTCCCCTTTCCTCTCTCTACCCCTCAAGGGAGGTTCCTTGTTGCCAGTGAGGGGCTCTTGTTCTAAGGAATTGGACATATGCACCCCTTCCTTGGATCGAGTGTGAATGCCTCCCATTACCTCAGGTTCCATATGACCCATATGGGTTTAATGCTCCCCAGTGAATGTAATAGTAATAATTTACCCTCCCTCTCAGTGGATTGGGGAAAGGAGAACTTTTTAGCCCCATTCATTCTCTTTGCAAAACTGGTTGTTGCTTTCCCAAAATTCTTCCTTCAATGAAGCTAGAAATGCTGTTATTGTATAGTTGCTTTTCTGGCACCAAATATCAGTTAGATATCTACATATTTTCAAGTTCCATATTAATGATTTATTTTATCCCTTGAGATTGTCAGAAAAAAAAAAATTTCATAATAATGATATATTTAAATATTAATGATTAATTTGCCCCAAGACTGGCAGAAAAATATTGTACAAGGACAAATGTGTGTGCTGCTCAGCTGAAGTACTCTCAAGACTACTTCCACAAAAGCTGGGAACAGCGTAGCAGATATAAACACCATGTGGCAGCTACCATTGTTGGAGCAGGGGCTGGTGTGGCTCTTTGGATCAACTACAACCATCGCACAGGTACTCTATATTATTTTTATTATTGAAAACTGATTTGCATTCTTCTTTCTGATAATCCATATATTGTTGCAAATGAAAGTGGTGTAGCTGGCTTGCACCTGTTAATCTTGCCATAGATCAGGGGTGGGCAACCCGTAGCACGCGTGCCAAACCTGGCATGCCAACAACTTCTTTCCGGCACACTAACCTCTGGTCTTGTCTCAAAAAAAAAAAAAAAAAAAAAAAAAAATTGTGATCCAAAGAGGAATGTGGGGATTGGAAGATAATGTGGGAAGTTACCAGAAGTATAATTCAGAGGGCTGAGGAGGGATTATTGATGTGGTTTTGGCATTTAGAGAGGATGGAGTAGCATTGGGTGACAGTACAGATTTGAGACGGAGAGTAGAAGGGGCAGGGCGTCATCCCTAAAGGGATGGTGGGAGGGAGTAAAGGATGTTTCAAGTGCTAGGGATTTGACCATTCAACAAGTTTGCATGTATGAGGTGAACAAAGTCAGGTGAGAAAAGACAGGTGTTGGAGCATGAGCAAGGTAACATTTATGAATGAACTCAGGGAAACTGGTAAGCCATATTTGAGTGTATGAGGTGGTGTGTGTGTGTGTAGTGCCTGCATTCTAAGAAGGGGTGAGGATGTGGCAAATGGTTTGAAAACCATTTGCCACATCTGTCAGACACTGCAAATCAGGGATTTTATAAAAGGAATTCTTCGTTTTACCCAAACCTTTGGTGTAACCTATTTAAATGGATGTTTCCCACTGTGACCTGCCTCCTCCTGCTTTGACTCGCCTACTCAGTATTAAGCCATAACTCTACAAAAATGATGGACGAACACATTATTCCGGGCGGGGGGGACTGTCCCCTCAAACTCCTCCTCCCCTTTACATTTCTTTGTTTTGGTTGAAGAACCCACTTGTGGCAAAAATTTCCTTAATAAAGTTCCCATATTTTGCATAAATGTTCAATTTTAAGGGTTAGGATTTGCATTTTGGGGGGTCTCTGGCTGTATATCGGTGTGCTTTTTGGCAAGGCAGGCAATGAATGAATGATAGTGAATGTATTTTTCCCCTAATTTTTTTTTCACCTTTCCTCAGTGAGAACTAAGGGAGGGACATGTATAATACATAATAGTTCATACAGTGAATAAACTGTGCAAAAAATTTAGTATATTGTATTTAATGTATATCATCATCAGGGGTATACATTACTTTATTTTGATTTGGTGTAAATAAAATAACATGTATCTAATCTGCAAATTAAAACATTAATTTTTTGCCTTTTTTACAGATCTGCCAGTTTACCCCAGAAGCCCGGGGAAGATGAGGACAGCTTTGGGGGGCTTTTTGCCCCTGGGTTGCCTAGACACCTTTGATTATTTCCCCAAAATTCCACTGTAAAAGACCGTGTATGGGTAGCTTATCGCCATGGAGTGTATGACATAACGGATTTCATTGCAAAGCATCCAGGTGATGAAATATTTATCTTGATTTTTTATATCTTTATGAAAGCAGTGTATTTATCAATCAGTGCTATTCTTTATTTTTATATTTCTATTTTTAAAAGGTTGTACAAGTAAAGATTGAAATTTCTCCTTTTTCTCTTCCAACACACCGGCGTATCCCACCGAGGCGGGGTGGCCCAAAAGAAAAAATGAAAGTTTCTCCTTTTACATTTAGTAATATATACAGGAGAAGGGGTTACTAGCCCCTTGCTCCCGGCATTTTAGTTGCCTCTTACAACACGCATGGCTTACGGAGGAAGAATTCTGTTCCACTTCCCCATGGAGATAAGAGGAAATAAACAAGAACAAGAACTAGAAAGAAAATAGAAGAAAACCCAGAGGGGTGTGTATATATGTGCTTGTACATGTATGTGTAGTGTGACCTAAGTGTAAGTAGTAAGTAGCAAGACGTACCTGAAATCTTGCATATTTATGAGACAGACAAAAGACACCAGCAATCCTACCATCATGTAAAACAATTACAGGCTTTCGTTGTACACTCACTTGGCAGGACGGTAGTACCTCCCTGGGTGGTTGCTGTTTACCAACCTACTACCTAGGAGTAGATTGAATATACACTTGAAATTGCAGAACTGAAATTAGACTATTTGATAATGGGTTTTTACCCTCAGTTTTTTTTTTTATCAGATTTTCTCTAATGACTTTTTCTATAGTTTCTCACCAACTCTTTGTTAATTTATTTGTGAAACAGATTTTATCCTAAGTTTATTTCAAAAATTTAGTGTCCATTTCTTGTATTAAAAATAGTCATTTTACGATAGGAAGTAAGTTACTAAATGCTGTAAAAAATTTTTGAGGATAGTGAGGTTCAGGTTAGGGTGTGTAGGAGAGAGGGAGATTACTTTCTGGTAAAGTAGGCCATAGACAAGGATGTGTAATGTAACCATGGTTTTTAACATATTTATAGGTGGGGTTTTAAAAGAAGTAAATGCTAAGGAGTTGGGAAGAGGGGTGGGATTAACTTACGAGAAATCAGATATAAAATGGGAGTTGACACAGCTACTTTTTTTGCTGATGATACTGTGCTTATGGGAGATTCTAAAGAGAAGTTGCAAAGGTTAGTGGACAAGTTTGGGAGGGTGTGTAAAGGAAGAATGTTGAAAGTGACCATAGAAAAGAGTAAGATGATGAGGGTGTCATAATATAATAATAATATAATAATAAACAGTCCACACATTCCAAGTGACATAACCCAAGCACAGTGCAAAGAAACTGCTGTCAGGATAATACAGGACCATGTACAAGTCATTGTGCAAAACAATGAAATCAAAGAAACACGTTTGCTAGGAAAACCAGGAAGTAAACTCGGTATAATGATCCGACTTCATTCGTACGATAAAAGAAAGGACCTAATTAAATCAGCAATTACAGTGAAAAATGGAGTGTACATAAATGAGTGTCTAACAAGAAAACGTCAAAACCTTCTGTTCAGGCTGAGAAAACTTAAACAGGAAAACAAAATACATCAGTGTTTCACGCGAGATGGGAAAATACTAGTAAGGAAAACATCAACAGGACAACAATATACTATCTCAAACGAACATGATTTCTCTACCTTCCTTAGAAAAGCGGACATTGCTGTAACAGATTAGATAAGTGCCCTTAATACATATATATACGTGTGGTGCATATAGTGTACGTTACTATTATATTGTGCATTATTATTTTATTATTTTTTTCATCACTAGCTAATGCTAACTACCTCCAATACTTTATACTTCTTTCTTACTGCTATTAATTGCTCATAATTTTAAATTACAAGTCAAATCTTACTCCAAATTAATATTATTCATTGTTCTTACCTGTCCATTTAATTTTGTTTACCACTACTTGTTTTTTAGTTGCTTTTTATTGTGTGTGTGTGTGCAATTAGTGTACATTCCAATTACTTTTTGCAAGTACCAAAACTATCTTTTGCTAGCTAGTACCAACTACCTCATTTTTTTACTTTTTGTTGTGCAATAATCTGCTCAACTTATTTAATATTACAAATCAGATCTTACTCCTAAACCAATATTATTTCATAGTGACTATCTGTCCATTTAACTTTGTTTACCATTACTTAATTTTAGTCCCTTATATATTTTTTCCTTTATTTTAGCTTTATATAACTACCTTAGTTCATATACAGTGGACCCCCGCATACCGTCGGCATCACATAACGTTTAATCCGCATACCGCTCGCTTTTATCGCAAAAATTTTGCCTCGCATACCGCTCAAAAACCCGCTCACCGCTGTTCGTCCGAGACTCGTCCAATGTGCGCCCTTAGCCAGCCTCACATGTGCCGCCGGTGGCATTGTTTACCAGCCAGCCTCCGCGGTAACATCCAAGCATACAATCGGAACATTTCGTATTATTACAGTGTTTTTGGTGATTTTATCTGCAAAATAAGTGGCCATGGGCCCCAAGAAAGCTTCTAGTGCCAACCCTACAGCAATAAGGGTGAGAATTACTATAGAGATGAAGAAAGAGATCATTGATAAGTATGAAAGTGGAGTGCGTGTCGCCGACCTGGCCAGGTTGTACAAGAAACCCAAATCAACCATCGCTACTATTGTGGGCAACAGAAAGGCAATCAAGGAAGCTGTTCTTGCCAAAGGTTTAACTGTGTTTTCGAAACAGAGATTGCAAGTGATGGAAGATGTTGAGAGACTCTTATTGGTGTGGATAAATGAAAAACAGCTAGCAGGAGATAGCGTCTCTCAAGTGATCATAAGCGAAAAGGCTAGGAAGTTGCATGACGATTTAATTAAAAAAATGCCTGCAACTAGTGATGATGTGAGTGAATTTAAGGCCAGCAAAGGTTGGTTTGAGAGATTTAAGAAGCGTAGTGGCATACATAGTGTGATAAGGCATGGTGAGGCTGCCAGTTCGGACCACAAAGCAGCTGAAAAATATGTGCAGGAATTCAAGGAGTACATAGACAGTGAAGGACTGAAACCTGAACAAGTGTTTAATTGTGATGAAACAGGCCTGTTTTGGAAGAAAATGCCAAGCAGGACCTACATTACTCAGGAGGAAAAGGCACTCCCAGGACATAAGCCTATGAAAGACAGGCTTACTTTGTTGATGTGTTCCAATGCTACTGGTGATTGCAAAGTGAAGCCTTTATTAGTGTATCACTCTGAAACTCCCAGACCGTTCAGGCAAAAGAATGTCCTCAAGGAGAATTTGTGTGTGCTGTGGAGGGCAAACAGTAAGGCATGGGTCACTAGGGACTTTTTCTATGACTGGTTACACCATGCATTTGCCCCCAAAGTGAAAGATTACCTAACTGAAAAGAAATTAGAACTTAAGTGCCTCCTGGTGTTAGACAATGCCCCTGGTCATCCTACAGACGTGGCAGAGCGACTTTATGGGGACATGAAATTCATTAAGGTGAAGTTTTTGCCTCTTAATACCACTCCTCTCCTGCAGCCCATGGACCAGCAGGTTATTGCAAACTTCAAAAAACTGTACACAAAAGCTCTGTTTGAAAGGTGTTTTGTAGTGACCTCAGAAACTCAACTGACTCTAAGAGAGTTTTGGAGAGAGCACTTTAATATCCTCAATTGTGTAAACCTTATAGGTAAGGCTTGGGAGGGAGTGACTAAGAAGACCTTGAACTCTGCTTGGAAGAAACTGTGGCCAGAATGTGTAGACAAAAGGGATTTTGAAGGGTTTGAGGCTAACCCTGAGGGATTATGCCAGTTGAGGAATCCATTGTGGCATTGGGAAAGTCCTTGGGGTTGGAGGTTAGTGGGGAGGATGTGGAAGAGTTGGTGGAGGAGGACAATGAAGAACTAACCACTGATGAGCTGATAGATCAACTTCAACAGCAAGAGGCCAGACCTGAGGAAACTGGTTCAGAGGAGGGGAGAGAGAAATTGAAGAAGTTGCCTACTACAAAGATTAAGGAAATCTGTGCAATGTGGCTGAAAGTGCAAACCTTTATGGATGAGAATCGCCCTCACACAGCTATTGCAAGCCGTGTTGGCAACCTGTACACTGACAATGTTGTGAAACACTTTAGGGAAGTCATAAAGGAACGAGAGGTACAGGCCACTATGGACAGATATGTTGTGCGAAAGAAGTCCAGTGACTCTGAAGCTGGTCCTAGTGGCATTAAAAGAAGAAGGGAAGTAACCCCAGAAAAGGACTCGACACCTCAAGTCTTAATGGAAGGGGATTCCCCTTCTAAACACTAACACTCTCTCTCCCCTCCTCCCATCCCATCAATCATCACCAGATCTTCAATAAAAGTAAGTGTCATGTAATTGTGCATGCCTTTTTCAGTTTGTGTGTATTAAAATTAACATTTCATGTGGTAAATTTTTTTTTTTTTCAATACTTTTGGGTGTCTTGCACGGATTAATTTGATTTCCATTATTTCTTATGGGGAAAATTCATTCGCATACCGATCATTTCGCATAACAATGAGCCCTCTTGCACGGATTAAAATCGCTATGCGGGGGTCCACTGTATTCACAATTGTTAAAATAATCAAGGTGCTATTCTCAGGTGCTAAAGTGTAATAAGTTCACTATTTTGCCATTATATTCCAAAAGCTCATTTTTTGATTACCACTTTATTGTTCACCACAACTTATATTAGTCCCTTTTATATTATAATTTTATATTATAATTCTAACTTTAAAGAATTACCTTTAAAGTACTACCTACTATCATATTCCCAAGCTCCATTATTTGATCATCACTTTATTTGTTCACCACAAATTATTTTAGTCCCTTTTATATTGTCTCCTTTATTTTAGCTTTAAAAAACTACCTTAGCTCATTATTTTTTACATTTGTTAAATAATTCAGGTGCTATTTTTTAGCTTTAGAATATTTACTTTGTTTTATACTTAATTCTAACTATAGATTCACTACGAATCTTATGATTACAAGCATTGATCCTGATACCAACCTCTTATTGAATGACTTAAATGAATCAAACAGTT